TCCTGCTGTAAGTTGTGACAAGACAAAGGCAAGATGTAACACATGTCTCAAAGTGAAAGGAACTGCTCCAAGGTATACTGAGAAATTCACTACTCACAATGAAAAGTTTCTAGAGACTGTGCATAGTGATCTTGTTGGCCCACGAGTGCCACCCTGTGGTGGGAACAAGTACTTTGTGACTTTTACTGAAAACAAAACAAAATATATTTTTGTGTATATGATGAAGAGCAAGGATGAGTCGCTGAATGCTATGTGGCCACGATTGAAAACAAGTTTGGCCAAGCACCCCAAAGTTTACATACTGATGGGGGTGGAGAATATTGCAATGCAGAATTTAAAAGATTTCTGGAACTTGAAGGGATTGAACACAAAGTGTCTATCCCACACTCGCCTCAACAAAATGGCTCTTCTGAAAAGCTGAACAGAACAATCCAGGACACGTGTAGGGCTATGCTAATACATTCTGGTCTACCAAATACCCTGTGGGGTGAGGCTGTCAACACAGCAATGTATTTACACAATAGAGTACCCTCAAAGGTTACTGGAACCACTCCTTTCAAGGCCTGGTTTGGAAAGCGGCCTGGACTAAAGCACATCAAAGCTTTTGGTTCCAAAGGGTATGCTCACATACCCAAGGAGAAAAGGGGACCCCAGAGCTAAAATTGGACTTGTAGTAGGGTATCCTGTTGGTGGAAAAGGATACAGGATATACAACCCCCGAAATCACACAGTTGGGGAACGCAGTGTTGTGTATATTGATGAAAGCAATTTGCCATGTGCTTCCAGTGCAACTGATCCACAGAGTTCTGGGACTGCTCCTGAAGAGTTGGTTGCATGGTTACCTGTGGTGACCACCGGGGAACCGGCATGTCTACCTTCTGAAGAAACTACCAGAACAGAAGGGGAAGTGGGAACTGCACCAGAGGAGGCAGCAGAACCCACGATAGAACCCACAACCAGTGTGAGACGATCAGAAAGAAGCACTAAAGGGCAACCACCACAGAAATATGGATTTTGTGAAACGGTACAATCTGCAAAGGAACCTAAGAACTGGAAAGAAATATGCAACTTCCCTGCGAGTGAAAGAGACAGATGGATTGAAGCAATGGAACAGGAAATACTATCCATATATGAGAAAGAAGCATGGACTCTTACCAAGCTACCTCCAGACAGAAAGCCAGTTGGGAGCAAATGGGTATTCAAAATCAAGCATAAAAATTATGGGACTGTAGAGCTATACAAAGCACACCTAGTAGCCAAAGGCTATTCACAAGAATATGGAACTGACTACTTTGAAACTTTTGCTCCAGTTACCGACCAAGCACGTTTAGAACACTTCATAGTGTCACAGCATAAAGAAACATGATTGTAGAGCATCTCGACATAAAGACTGCATTTCTCAATGGAGAACTATCTGAAGAAATTTATATGGAACAACCTGAACGTTTTAAAGTCAAAGGACAAGAAGATTATGTTTATAGACGCAACAAAGGACTCTATGGATTAAAACAAGGAGCAAAGGCCTGGTATGACAAAATTACTGGACTATTGCAGAAGCAGGGCTTTGAGTAAGGAAAAGCTGAACCTTGCCTGTACACTAGGATTAAAAATGGACAATACCAGTATGTTCTTGTTTACGTTGAAAACTTGATCATGTCTTGTCAAAACAGAGAGGATATTAAAGAAATAGCTGATCGACTGAACAAGGAAGAAGAAGTCAAACAGCTTGGAGACGTAAAACACTACCTCAGAATGCAAGTTGAAAGACTCGAGGATGGAACCTTTCTTTTATGACAGAAATGAAAGATTATGGACTTTATAGAATCTGTTGGTATGAAAAACTGCAAAGCATCATCCATACCACTGGAACCTGGATATCTAAAGGAAAGGGATGGAAGACCTCTCAAAGACATTGTAGAATACAGAGAAGCAGTTGGAAAACTTCTCTACCTAAGCAAAAGCACGAGGCCCGATATCACAGCAGCAGCTGGCATCTTATGCAGAAAAGTGAGTTCACTAACCTTCATGATTGGAGTGCAATAAAAAAAAAACTGGCACAGTATCTGAAAGGAACAATGGACTTACAACTGAGAATTGCACCATCTGAAGGACCGAAACTAGTCAGATACATGGACACCAACTGGGGAGAAGACTCGAACAATTACAAGTCAACTAGCGGATATCTATTTTTCTATGGAGATGGACTAATAGACTGGACTAGTAGAAAGCAAACTGTTGTGGTGCAGTCTACAGCAGAAGCTGAGTGTGTTTCAGCAGCAAGTGCCTGCAGTAGACTTGAATGGATTTTTCATTTGTTGAAGGACTTTGGAATAAGAGAACCTGTACCTGTACTTATGTTTGAGGACAATCAAGCTTGTATTACTATATGTAAGGAAGAAAGCACCACAGCAAGAAGTAGATCTATTGGTATTAAGTGTGTGTTGGTGAAAGATTTGTACCAGAAGAAGCTAATTGATATTGAACATTGCCACACAGAGGAAATGGTGGCTGACATTTTGACTAAGACACTGACCAAAGAAAAATTTGGACATCTTCGTGAAATGTTGAATATGGTTGATCCAAATGTTGATGTGAATAATGTTTGTATGTGCATGTATGATGACATACACGTTAGACCTTGAGAAGGGGTGTTGGAAATGTGTGAGATGCAAAGTCTAGATTCCAGTCATTATAGGGTTAATCTGTTTTACCTTCTGTGCTATTGTTTAGACTGACCTGGAAGGAAACTTGGCACAGATTCAATGTAAGCAAGGCCTGTAAAACTGAGCAACATTTATTGGGTCCTGCTAGGGATCAAGAAGAAGAAGAAACTCCATTGTGTGTGGCCATGTCTTTGTAGCTGTAAGGATCTAAAAATGTAGCTCTAGATATCTCTTTTGTAGCTTTCCATGTGAACCCTTCCCTTAGAAATAAAGCTTTTTTCATAGAAAGAAATGTCTCCTCACCAGTGAAGCAAAGATCCATTGCGAACTCTGAGTATTTAAGTATTTTTGCCTATTTTCCCAATAAAGATGACTTTTCCCTTCTTTATGTTTTATAGAAATCGGCTTCCTATCTTAATTCAGCTTTGACATGGTCACATTTACTTGGAGATTAGATTCTTGTAACATGACATAGAATTACCCTTCAGGACAATTTGGCAACTTCAATTGATCGAGATATAGTTTGTAAAATCAAGGCTATGACATAATGTACACCTGAATTACAAAGCACTGCAGGGGAGGGGCTTAATGACAGAGCATCTGCTTTGCATGCAGAAGGTCCCAGTTTCAATCCCTGGCATCTCCAGCTAAAGGATCTCATAGTCACTGATGTGAAAGACCCGTGCCTGAGACCTCGGAGAGCTGCTGCCAGTGTGAGTAGACTACATTGGCTTTGATGGACCAAGGGTCTGATTCATTATGTGTGCGCCTGTATGTTCCTTTTAAATAGTAACTCCACATAATGAAACTACTTGGCAGCTGAGGTTGGGAAGGCTTCTACTCTGCAGGTTTTTAGAATGTAGGTAAGCATTTTAATGAAGGATTTAGCTAAACATTTTTAATGAATTCATAGACGTAGCACTGCATTCTGATATTGCTAAAATGCGGTCCCCAACCTTTTAAACCTTTGAACAAGTTTGACATTTTGGGATAGGGTGGCAGGCAGTATTACAAAATGGCTGCTGCATAGGGTTGCCAAGTACCTACCTACGAACTGGCGGGGGACACATGTTTCCCTGCCGGAAGATTCTTGCTTGTAACACAGGCGCTGCACTATTCCGTCGCCCAACGTGACGTAGGCACGTCGCTGGGTGACGCTCTGGTAATGGAGCTGGAAACTCGATGGTACCATTGAGTTTCCAACCCCATTGCTAGAGTGTCGCCCGGCTACGTGCCTACGTCATGTCTGGGCGATGGAATAGTGCAACGTCTGTGTTTTCCCCGCGGGAATGGTCCCACGAAGAGCTTCATATCCCCCGCCGAATCAAGGTAAGTACTTGGGAGCCCTGCTGCCGCAGGAGACAGAGCAAAGCAAACATACATACAACAGAGCAAGGGGGATGGGAATATATACATACACACACAGAGGACATTCAAGGGGAGATAACATACATCTGCACACACAGAAGAAGATGACCAAATGGGAAAGAGAGGATAAAACACATACAAACAAAAGCCACCCAAGGTGTGGAGTGGGAAGTATTAAATTGCAGTCTGTTATTTTCTCTGGCATCTCTATCTAGTCTCTCTCTCTCTGTCTCTGGAATTTTTCTGGGTGTGGCATAAGGAAGTCAAACTCCTCCCCTAAATTGGTTCAGGGAGTAAATTGGAGAAGTGTTGGACATGGTTTTGTTGCCTCCAGTGGGTTGCTGTGGACAGAGTGAGAGAAATGCTGAGGTAGGGAGGACAGTGTATCCAGGCCTCATGCTCCATTCTCCCCCTGCCAATTAGCTAATCTACCACTTCCATTGCTCTGGTGTTCCTTGACACCCCCACCACCACCACACTGATCCATGTGTCCTGTTCATGGGATCTTGAATGCTTCTCTAGTGAGTGGTGGGAAAGATCCAGGTGAAAACACCTTCACTTGTATGAAGGCAGCCAGTCTCTCATCTTGCCATCACTATGGTCTTCCTGCTTTTCTGAAGGACTAGGCAGATGCCTGCACAAGTGCCTGCAAGTGCCATGTTCTAGCACGTGGCACCCACAGGCACTTTCACAGACACCTGTGCTAGAATATACAGTCTATACCACCATTACATGATCAATACTTGCCGTCACAATTTTTTGAAAAACATGTTAGACTCAACAGTGGGATGTATGGTCGGTCAGCAAATTCATCCTTTTTCTCTGTCAGTGCCTCCTTAACTGCCTTGAACCCATTCAATATGACTAAAGTGTGCCATCCAGCCTGGAATGACATGACTGCTCCATACCTCTTTGCCAACTGTGATAAAGAAATAAAGAACAAGAAAACAAGGAAATATTTTGCTGTCCTGAGGAGAGTGAAAAAGAGCCCCTTGCCATAGCCCCAGGCAAATCCCGAAACAAACATGCTTTACCCAGCAGTCAGACACTTGTTGCATACCTATGTAAACATGGTTTCAGGAAGCTAAAGAGTTTCACAGGATGTAGGAGTGCTCGAACACTCACCAGTTTGGCTCCCTATCAGCTTGCTGGTGGCAAACAGGGAGCCAGTTTTCTGTGGACCAGTTAGCCATTTATGAATACATTTAGCTGGCTCGTTGAGTTCCTTTTTAAGCATTCAAAAATATACGTCACTACAGTGCAATCATTAGGGTTTCACACATACAGATTCTGGGACATCCCAAAGGCAGCCCTACACCAGTTGTCTTCACATGCCCTCAGCAATCAATGGCATGAACAACCATTGAACAAATTATTCAGACAGCCAGTGAATATAAGTAATGACCTGACCTGACCATCCATGATCCCCTGTGACCTCACTGCACAATTACATATGTCCCTCCAAAAAAAGAGAAATGAAACTCCACCACTGGAAGGGAACAAAACTCTACCACTAGAATTATTGTGCAGCTGCAAAGCTATTCAAGAGTCATTCAAAGTGGTCCATCGACAGGCAAACAGATCAGATGTTTGACCCTGGGGTGATCTTTGCTGTCAAACAAGGTATGTTCATCATGAAGTCTGTGGTATGTCTAATGGGCAGCAAAATTAAACTGTAGCCTCCCCCCCCACACACACACACTGTTGTACCTTTCATACATACAGGAGGTTCTCAGGGCTTTCACTTTTTTATGCTACCATTCAGTTTGGGCCCTCCAAAGTTGGTCTGGCTGGTACTTACATGCTGGGCAGTGGTATGTGGATTCCTGAGATCGAACTGCAGCAAGTTCCCAAGGAAAGGCAGCGGGGTAGGTCCTGGTGGAAAGCGACTGCTTCTCTTTCTGCACATCACATAATCAAGCAGCAGAGCCAGCAGTAGGAGAGAGATTAGCAATGATGTGATGTTATTCCAGCAGGACGAGGCCTGGGCCCCCAGCCAAGAGATGGAAGCTGGGATCACAGCCGTTGGCGTCTCCATCTTCCCTCCGCTGGGCCACTTGCAGACTAACTCTTGCTGCTGCAAAGCTCAGGTGTACCAGGTTCTTCTGCTCATGCAAATTCTCCTTCTTCCTCTTCTTAGAATCAGATCCTTAAAAGAATGTGATCCAGTATTTATGTGTCTACAGTAATCCGTGTACTTTTTCATGATAATTAAGAAGTTACACAAGGGCTGGCTCAATTAAAAGCTCTTCGTCAAAGTACACGTGTAGTACCGATAAGGAGGCACTGATAGAGATCTTTTCTAAAGCATTAATGGGATGTGCAGGAAAAGAAGGGTGGCATGGCTTGGCTCCAGCTCACTCCAGAACCCACTGGGCCCACTGACAAAGGGGTGTTGGAACACACTGCTAGATTACAGTAAACTATGATAAAAGCCTTAGGGAAGACTTTTGTTAAACATGTGAATTGGGGGAAGATCCGTGAAGCTAAGCAAAACAATGAGGAAAGTTTAAGAGGTTATTATGAGTGCCTGTGTGCCTTAGTCCATGAACATTCTTAAAATTAATCCTGCTGACAATGATCAGGAGCCCCAAATGGTGTGTCTGCTTCTCGAGCAGAGGATTCGAATTTGTTTGTTACAAGGGCTGGATGTGACATAAAGGTCACTTTGTTAGGCCAGACCATGTGTGCCATAAAATGTAATGCCAAGTACCAAGGATATAAATTTCATGAAGAACACTGGCAAACCCAATTAATAGCAAACAATAACAAAATCTCCCTCCTTATTGTGTTATTTTCCCTCACTCTCCTGGATTTTCCCCCTCTTTTGCTCTTTGGAAAAATAAAAAATCCACCTCCAAAGTGGTTCTAACACTCAAGACACAGAGAGCAGTGCTGGGAGCAGCTCACCCAGGCTGGGGGGTGCATGGGGCAGGAGGCTCGTCCTCCCTTGGTTGCTTGTGGCTGCTGCTGCTGCTACTGGCTGGCTTCAGGAGGCCGAAGTTTCGTCCCAATTCCCAGTTCCTTATCCATGACTTATCCATGAATTCAGCCAAAGAACATTGAGGAGAGTTTAATAGCTCTGAACCCACAAATAAGGTTTGGACCACCATAAATCATATATCCCCACATTCTGGGGACTCTCCCCTTCGAGGGGAAATATGGTGTTTCCTGGTCCAAAGTCTAGTTTTTGTGCCATCTACTCCAAAGTGGGGTGCCCCCAGGACAATCACACAGGTGGACACTGGGGCCAGTCTGCACCCCAAAACAATCTTGGGGGGGGGAAACCATGACAGAACCCCACACTCCAGAGACTGTCCCCCACAAAGACATACAGTGGTGCCAGTTCTGTCACCACAAAGCTTCTACTTGGGCTGCCACCAAGAGGCCTGAATTCAAAATGAGATTTGAATAAGGAACTGAATACGGTCCTGGCCCCACTGCTGGTCCTCCTGATGGCACCTGGTATTTTTGGCCACTGTGTGATAGAGTGTTGGACTGGATGGGCCTTTGGCCTGATCCAACATGGGCGTCTCTTATGTTCTTATGTTAACTGGAACAACTGCATGCCATCTGTACACTGAAATCAGGGTTGGACCACCACATGTCATATACCTCTATGTTCAGGGGACTCCCCTCTCTGAGAGTACATATGCTGTGTTCTGGTCCAAAAAGCAGTTCTTGTCCCAGCTGAATCAAAGTGAGGTTCCCCCAGGACCATAACACAGGCAAACACTGGTGCCAGGCTGCACCCAAAAACGATCTTTGGACCACCCAAAATGACATATCCCCACACTCCACAGGCTGTCCCCTGCAAGTGAACATATAGTGGTGCCCAGTTCAAACACCGGTTATGGCGTCACAAGCTTCTATTGGGATTGCCACCAAAAACCGTAGATGTCAAAGAAGATTGGAATAAGAAACTGAACAACCGTGTGCCCTCCGCACCTGAAAATAAGGTTTGGACTGCTAGACATCTTACACCAACACCTTCAGGGGACTTTCCCCTTCGTTGGGACAGATGGTGTTTCGTGGTCCAAAGCACAGTTCTTGTGCCATCTGCTTCAAAGTGAGGTGACCCTAGGACAATCAGACAGACAAGCACAGGGACCAGGCTTAGGGTTGCCAGCTCCAGACTGGGAAATAACTGGAGATTTTGGGGGTGGAGCCTGATGAAGGTGTGGGGTTTGGGGCATAATGCCATAAAGTCCAGCTTCCAAAGTGGACATTTTCTCCAGGAGAACTGATCTCTGTCACCTGGAGTTCAGTTGCAATAGGAAGAGATCTCCATCGCCACCTGGAGGTTGGCAACCCTAGCCAAGCTGCACCTCAAAACATTCTTTGGGCCACCCCAAATGATACCCCCCCTCACACTCCAGAGACTGTCCCCCCCCCCACGCCCGGGGGGGGGGGGGGGGAGCTCACAAGGGTGACACCCCGTCTTCACTATTGAGCTCAGGGCAGCCCCACCCTCCCGCTTGTCAGTATATAAAACTATACCAGCAAGCTGTCAGTCTGCCAGTGACAGTGAATGCTAGATCAGGATGATCTAAGTTGACAGCTAGTAGATCACATGACATAGTGATTGCAGGGAGGTTGCATCAGCCTTTGCACTAGGCACCATGACTTGGCAAATATGTAAATGACTGTAATGTGATTGGTTGTTGTAAATATAAATGTAGTGCTGAACAGTGCTGTTCATCTCGTCTATGGGATCAGTTGTCTGCGCAGCACCTTGTCAGTGAGTACCACAATTTTTGGACTCAGAGAGACTGTAAATACTCCAGTGTAAATAAACTGTAAATACTTTTATACCACTCTGCTACACGGCGTTTTCTTCAATACCGTCACCGCTCAGCCGGTTCCCTGCCACTTTCCCGCAAGGTGGGAAAGTGGCAGGGAGGGTCTCAGTGAGCCCACCCAGAGCAGCTTCAGGTGAGCTGCTAAGAGAAATGAGGGGTGGAGGGAAGCTTGGCTGGCCCCAACTGGCTTGCCTGCAGTTGCTCCAGGGGAGCTGGCGATGAAGGGGAGGGAAGGATGGATGGATGGCCCTCCCGGTGCAACTCTAGGCAAGCTGGCGAGGGAAAGGAGATTAGGGGAGGCAGATCAGTTGGCTCACCCAGAGCTACTCTGGGCAAGCCAGTGTTGTGAAATGGACTAATTTATGGTTTTATATCTGCTACACACGCAACAAATGGACTGTGCACACACATCTGTATACCATGGGCCAAAGGAAGCTGTTTGCATCACCTACTGTGAGAAGTTTCACATAGGGAACACTTGCCTGCATTTTATGTTAATGTAGCTAAAGCATCATGGGAAGAAGAAGTACATGCTAGCCATTGTGAGCAGAACAACAACCAAGAAGGAGAAAATCCCCCATTGCTAAAGAGACGAGATGTCACGCAGAACATGATCTGCATTTGAATTGCAGTTTCCTGTTGATGGTGCCTTGAATGCCTGGGAAAACCAAGAGTCATCTGCACATCAAGAAGGACACAGGAAGCCGAGACTTCACACCTGGCCAGATGGTGTTCCATGAGATAGAGTGTAGAATTTCAAATATTGGCCCAACCCATAGAATACCTGCCCCCTTTCTACATGTACCAATGAGGAAAGTCATGGGATGGACTTTGTAAGTAGATGGGATTACAGTTTGGCAAGGTGCCACCCACCTGTAGATTCAACTATAAAAGTAAAGGCCAAACCCTAGGTCTTTGCTAGCCACTTCCCTTCTCCACAACCTCTATCTTCTTTACTACCCCTAAGGTCCACCTTTCTATCCAACAATCCCTTTGTCTACTTTAAGATCTCTTGGACTGCAGCCAAAGAGGTCCACACGTGTTAGCTGGTTCTAGCAGGTGTGATTTAGCTTAAACCCCTAGGTATCACTTTCTACCCCATTCCCATTGCAAACAGACAAGACTTCTGGAAATGGCGAGTATGAATCGAAATAGATACCTACCAAGTAAGTAAGAAACTATCTTAATAGCTTTCTGTAACTCTAAAGGAACTTGAACGTATGCTATTGAGAGGCTGATTATTTTGTGTGTATGTGATCTTGAAATTGCTTAGTAAAAAGATTATTTGTTTTGGAAAAACACCCGTGTGGTCTCCATTACTGGAACTCTGGGTTCAGACACGACCTTGGTATAGTTGGCCAGGACTCATGTTAAATTTAGTTGCCAGCCGTCATAAATAAGGCAGTTCGCATAACACCAGCAAGGGAAGGTAGGGGAGCGGAGGGGAGGGGAAGGGGGCTGGCTGCTCTGTGTGAGCCAACTGACCTCCCCTCCCCTCCATTACTGGCTTGCCCGGAGTTGCTCTGGGTGGGCTAGCCAAGCTTAGTGGCTCACTTGCAGCTGCTCCAGACAGGCCTGCTGAGGTCATCCCCCCCCCATTCTCAGCAGCTCACTCGGAACTGGGTAAGCCTGTGAGGAAGGGGAGGAGAGGTCAGCTGGCCTGCCCATAGCAATGCCTGACAAGCTGCTGAGAGCAGTGCCATGTGGGGGGAGGAGCTTGGCTTCCTTAATAAATTATTTGTCATCCTACCAAAAAGATTCTGGCTATGTAATATATCCATCTCCGACCGCGTGAGTGGCTAGGTTGCCATGCGGCCGGGCAAAGTGGCCGAGCTTCGCTCTCAGGAACAATGGGCCAAGCAGATCCTAGCCCATACCAATAGGAGGGCTAGGCTCCCGGCCAAGAGCCCATGGAAATCTCGGCCACTATAATGACCAATCACTTATGTGTGGGTGTGTTTGGGGTGTGGGTTTGTTGCACATATAAACAGGCCTGTGAGCCGGTTCTAGTTGTCTTGTTTCGAACTAAATAAAAGTATGAGAACTGAAATCACCAGTAAGTCTCAGTACTTTTCACTGGCGACGAGGATGGGATTCTAACTCCCATGAACAACAACCCGGACAAAGATTCGAGCGCCGCACCGAGCCCCAGCGTCGAGACCGCCGCACGCTGCTCCGCTTCACGCCCTTGTTCTCTGGCAGCCACTCACCGCTCCGCTCCTTGCTCCGTACCCCGCCCTGCTGACCCCGAGAGCAGCAGCACTTTCCGTCTTTCTCCAGCCACTGCCGCAGCTCCCGAGTTACCCTCCCCATGAGGAAGCAGTACGATGGCTACATCCCAGGAAAGCATTGCCACTTTCAACATCTCCCGCCCCGCACAGTGGGAGACCTGGCTCGAGATCCTGGAGAACTACTTCAACTGCCATGACATCGTAGACCAGGGTAAGAAGAAGGCCCATCTCCTTCTGTCCTGTGGCATAGACACCGTCTTGCTGCTCAAGGACCTAATTGTGCCTAAGCAGACCAAGGACAAGTCCTATGTGGTGCTGGTAAAAGTGCTGACCGACCACCTTTCACAAAAGCCCACAAAGTTTCCTGAGTGCATGGACTTTTTTGCGTGGGTCCAGGGGCTGGACGAGCCGGCCTACGAGTTCTTGGCCGGATTCCTGCGGGCGGCCACCAGGTGTTCATTTCCCAACCTGGCAGACACCTTGCTAAACCAGTTCCTCTTGGGTCTCTGGGAACCCAAGCTTCGGAGGAAACTGGTTAGCCAGGACGACATGGACCTAGATAAGGAGCTCCAAGAGGCCGCGGCCTATGAAAAGGCGTATCAAGACTGCTGCGTGCAGGCGGTCCATCGCACTCAAGCAGCCCTCGAGTCGGACGACTCAGAAGGTGAGGAAGTGCTCCAGGTATGCCACCGTCCATCTCAACAGCAGCATTGCTCGGGGGGACCATCCTTGGCCAAAGCCTCCTCTTCATCGTCTTCCTGCACCAGCTGCGGAGAAGCACATGAACGCCGGGTTTGCTGCTTCAGGGACGCCGTCTGCCACTCCTGCAACAAGCCGGGCCATCTGGCCCGAGTCTGCTGCTCCCGACAACAGCCTCAGAAGACTTCAGCCCACCAGACAGCAGCGGATCTACCCACCGACCTCCATACTCTCTCTGCCCACCACCAGCAGCACCGGGTATGTAACTTGCCCCCAGATAGTCCAAATAAGGTGCATGTGACTGTGCTAATAGAGGGGTCCCCCTGCAGCATGGAAAAGACTCGGGCTCTTCCTCGGGGAAGGGAAAGGAGTTTGTAAGCCGCTCTGAGACACCTTTGGGTAGTGAAGGGTGGGGTATAAATCCAATCTCTTTTCTTCTTCTATTCCATAATTTCGGAGGAAACGCTGCACTCGCTCTGCCCATGGGGGGGACCCCCTCTGCGAAAGCCACAGGGGTTTAAGTTACGAGACTTTAACAAGAACCCTGTGGCGATTCGGGACTGGGGCAAGTTTACGGTTCAGTTTCAGGACTTCAGGGGAAAATTGGACTTGTTGGTGGTAGGGGGGAGGCTCTCCAGTCTGCTGGGACTTTCCTGGTTTGGGTCCCTGGGATTGATGATCACGGGAGTGAATCAGCTATGGACTGATGACTTTGCGGCTGTGTGGAACGAGTTCCCCAGGGTTTTTGACGGCACACTCGGCAGATATGGGGCCCCATATCCTTAGATCTCGACCCGGCTGTCCACCCCATCAGGGTCAAGGCCAGATACCCCCTATTGTGATTAGGCCAAAGATCGAGGCAGAGCTTGATAGCTTGGTTGCCCAGGGGATGTTAGAGCCCGTCGCTTCACCCCGGTCAAGCCCAACAGTGACGTGTAGATTTGTGCAGACTATAAATGCACATTGAACAAAGCCCTCCAAGACCATGCTTATCCTGTACCGGTGGTCAGCCATGTGTTAGCCGCACTGGCGGGGGCGCGGATCTTCGGCAAGCTGGACTTGGCCCAGGCCTATCAGCAACTGCCGGTGGATGCCGCCATGGCAGAAGCCCAAACGTTAGTGACACACAAGGGGGCTTTCAAAGTACATAGACTCCAGTTTGGGGTATCGGTCGCACCAGGCATCTTCCAATCTTTCATGGACACTTTGTTAAAAGGTATTCCAGGAGTGCAGCCATTTCTAGACGACGTGCTCATCGTGGCCCCGGATGCCTCTGCCTTCGCCGACTGGCTGCGGGCTGTGCTCCAGTGTTTCAACACGGCCAGCCTGAAGGTCAAGTGTGAAAAATGCCTGCTCGGGGTTCCCAAGGTGGAGTTTTGGGTGTTCGCCGTAGATGCCCAGGGTATCCACCCCACTGAAGACAAAACAATGGCTATCACGCTGGCTCCCCCACCTACATCCAAGATGGAATTACAGGCTTTCCTGGGCCTGTTAAATGTTTCCACTCTTTTTCCCTCTGAAGGCCGCCGTGATGGAACCTCTGCACCGCCTACTGGATAAAAAAGCTCCATGGGTCTGGGGCCCGGAGCACGCCACTGCTTTCCAGGTGGTAAAGGATCTTCTTGTCTCCAATTCGGTCCTCTTCCATTTCAATGAGGCACTTCCCGTGGTCCTGGCCTGCGATGCCTCTCCTTACGGGGTTGGGGCAGTCCTGGGCCACCAGTTACCGGACAGCCGGGAGGTTCCGGTAGCCTATTTCTCGCACCTTGTCATCTGCTGATTGACAAGGAGGCACTGGCTATTGTGGCAGGGGTGAAAAAATTTCACCATTACTTGTACGGTCAGCTGTTCATGATCCTGACAGACATAAGAACATTAGAACATAAGAGATGCCAATGTTGGATCAGGCCAAAGGCCCATCCAGTCCAACACTCTGTATCACACAGTGGCCAGAAATACCAGTGCCATCAGGAGGTCCACCAGTGGGGCCAGGACATTAGAAGCCATCCCACTGTTGACCCCCCCAAGCACCAAGATGACAGAGCATCACTTGCCCCAGAGTCCCTATCTATACCTTGTGGCTAATAGCCACTGATGGACCTCTGCTCCATATGCGTATTTAATTCCCTTTTGAAGCCGTCCATGCTTGTAGCCACCACCACTTCCTGTGGCAGTGAATTCCAAGTGTTAATCACTCTTTGGGTGAAGAAGTACTTCACTCTTTAGGTGAAGACCATAAACTGCTCCTCGGCCTACTGGCCCCCAACTGCCAAACCCCACAGATGATGTCTCCCCTGCAAGGACGAGCTGTCGGCCCACAAAGGCTGCTTGATGGGGGGGGCAGAGTGGTGATCCCTGCCCTTTAAGGGAACGAATCCTCACAGCGCTCCACGAGACACATCCAGGGGTGGTCCGGATGAAAGCTTTGGCCAGAAGTTATGTCTGGTGGCCAGGGCTGGATCGGGACATCAAGGACCGGGTAAAGAGATGTCTGCCCTGCCAAGAATCCCGGCCCGAGGCTCCCCGGGCTCTGGCTAGAGCCTGGGAGTCCTAACACAAACCCTGGTCTTGGCTCCACTTGGACTTCGCGGGGGCATTCCAGGGTCAACTATTTTTTGAACTCGTGGATGTGTACAGCCAATGGCTCGAGGTCGTTCTGGTACCATTCACTTCATCAAGAGCTGCCATCCGGGCCATGTGGCACATCTTCAGTGTCTAGGGTATTCCCGACACCCTGGTCACCAACAATGGCACAGCCTTCACTTCTAGTGAATTCCAGGACTTCACACACTATTATGGGATTTGCCACGTCAGATGGGCCCCGTTCCACCCAGCCACCAACGGCCAAGCCAAACGCATGGTTCGAACGACCAAGGATGTGCTTCACCGCTTGGAGTGTAAGGACTGAGACTACAAGCACAGCCCAGTGGAGCTCCTCTTGGGATGGCACCTGACGACCCAGCTGGATTGCCTTCATACAGATTGATCCCCGGAAGAAGAACCGGCCATGGAGTCACCCGAGGCCACCCGAGGGTTTTTCCCCGAGGACCCGGTCTACGCCCAGAACTATGCACGAGGGCCACCATGGATCCCGGCCAGAGTGGTGAGAGTTCAGGGACCAAGATCATACGAGGTCTCCAGTGAGGACGGACAGATACTACACCACCACATCAACCAGCTGTGGTGGCGGGTTCTGCCATACGAGCCGGAGGACCTCAAGGACCCAGACACCCCAGAACCAACCGCCCCATCTCCACTGCTGGACACCCTGGCCCAGACCGATGAGGTGCCCTGCTTATCTTCCATCGATCTTCCTGCAGACAGCACGGCCGTGCCCTGAGAAGCAGTGCTACCCGCCCCACGGCAGCCAACACCAGCTATCAGCCGAGTGCACCGGTGTCACCTTCTGCCCCATTTCCAGCACCTCGCCACTCTACGAGACCACGTAAAGCACCCTCTTATTTGCAGGACTTTGTATGTGGGTGTCTTTTGGACCAAGGGGGGAGGGATATCCATCTCCGACCGCGTGTGCTGATAGGTCACCACGTGGTCAGGCGAAGCAGCTGAGCTTTGCTCTCAGGAACAATGGGCCAAGCGGATCCTAGCCCGCACCAGTAGGATTACTGTTTGGAGCCCCGTTGCCAGAGCGACACGTAGCGTTATGTCCTGGCAATGGCGGGTCCAAAGTGTCTCGCCATCCCCATGGCAGGGATTCTGCAAAGACATGCGATCCCCTGCCACGACTTGGAAACCCTAGACATAGAGAATATAAATCATGAGCTAGTCAGTTAAAGAAACTAGAGAACTAACGAAGGGAGGTGTTCTAAAAAGTTTGGGGGAAACAGAGTAATTAATTATGTCTTGTGAAGTTTTAGGGAAGTATCCAGCTACTAAGTTCAGCCAAGAACCAAGAGTCATTAATCATGATTCTTGGCTCCAATTGAGAGGTACAGAATTTGTATTGTAGAACAGTGTCTCCTACATGCTGAACTAAGCTATGTGTTTTACAAATTATAAACTTCAATTTTAACAAGAAGTAGCTTCATAAAAGGACCAGAAATATTCTGTAAACATATTTTGATAAACCAAAATGAATAATAATGTGTAAATCAATGTATCTACAAGAGTTTAATGTCACAAGCTATTTTATAATACTAAAAGAATTCATGTAAGGAGTTTAATGCTTTAGAATGTCGTTGTAATGATATGTTTTCATATTTTGTATACCAGTTAGTGAAAATAAGTTTATAAAATGCTTTAAGATACTTTTATATGGATGTATTAAGTGTAAAGAAGAACTAAGTTTGTAGAATTTTGTACCTGAACTGAAAATGAACTTAGTCTAAAAGTTCAGTCAGAGGTAAAAGGTAGTAGGAGTCTGGGAGTAATGCCAAAAAGGAGTAAGCAAGACTGTAAATCAAAATAATGAGCTGCACCTGCATTGTAGGAGTTGAACTGCACCCAGCCAACATCCTGTGTGTCAAATATGTGATTGATAACTGACCAGACACAGAAAACTGAACTGAGCATGTCTAAGTGATGTCAATGATGATGTAAAGTGAGGATAAGCAAAAAGAGTATATAAGCAAGCTCTCGGTTGTAACAAATTGAACACCCAGACTGAATTAAGCTGTAGGATGCTCCTTTATTCAAATAAATACTTTTGTTACCCTTTACTGCCTGGATGATTGTTTTCACTGTGTGGTTTATTGGCTAGCCACACAAGTCAAAGAACCTTAGCGAGCCAGTTTGGTGTAGTGGTTAAGTGCGTGGACTCTAATCTGGGAGAACCGGGTTTGATTCCCCACTCCTCCAGGGCCTTGAAGCTTCCTTTCTCTCCTCAATAGGAGAGAGGCACTGCACCATCAAGGAGCCAGTCTTTTCTGTGCTCTTCAAGGTCCAAATAACTCTGCCTCCTCAACACTCTGCTGCCTCAGTAATAAATTGTTTCTGGTTCTTTGAAGCTGATTTTCTAAATGGTTTTGCTAAAAGACAATATTGTTTCAATACAAATATATTTAAAAACAGCATTCACAATATTAGGTGGTGAATTGCCAGGTACTGTGCCATATGATAGAAAAATTGGAGAATACTATGTTCATCAGAATAAGAGAGTATTATTATATATCAATTCCAATTTTTTTGAATGATTTTCTTATTAAATATCACTAGTAACCAATCAACTATGGACAGAAAATTGAACTGGGGAACACATAGAATATTATACAATTTTACCAAATGGAAAATAATAGTACGCAATATCAAAATTATTCAATAGAAGTCCATATCCATGAACTGAAGTACATTGGGAATTCTTGATATATTATTTCTGATTTTGTTCACAGAGCATATTGGTCAAGTTGGAATATCGGTTCTACTTTGATAAAGCTCTATAGCAAAGCAAGACAGACTGTAGCTAGCATGCTCATAAGAGTATGCTCATAAGAATACATAAAATATATACTCACTTATTCTACTGAACATAGTATTCTGCGCAGTTTTTCTATCATTTAGTCTTTGGACTGTGCAGTCACCTTGTTTTCTGTAGGTACTGAGCCATGGTAACGAAATGGATCATGGAAATGTGCTTATGAGACTGAGCGGAACACAGTACAAAGGAAAGTGTTTACCTCGCTGGCTCCAGTGGAAGATTTCTCTAGCAAAGGGCCACACAGCACAGCTACTGTGGAGTGCCCCAAGCAGGGAGGAGAGTAGGAAGAGGATGGGATCAGCCACAGGCCTCCCATTCCATTGATTCCTCTTGGGAAACAATGGAATGCGGGGTCTACAGCTGGCATACACCTGTTTCCCTTTCCTTCGCCACCCCCTACCACTCCCTATTCCATTCCCTCCACTACCCCATTTTATCCCCTCCCCAGCTCACCAGAACCCACTCCTCCACTATCCCTCCTCCTCTAACTTGGTCTCTGTTTCCTGTCTTTTGATTGTCCTGGGTACTCTTGAGAGTCCCTTGGACTACAAGGAGATCAAATCAGTCGATCCTAAAAGAAATCAACCCTGACAGTTCCTTGGAAGGCCAGATACTGAAGCTGAAGCTCAAATACTTTGGCCACCAAATGAGAAGGGAGCACTCACTGGAGAAGACCCTGATGTTGGGAAAGACTGAAGATAAAAGAAGAAGGGGACAGCAAAAGATGAGATGGTTAGACAGTGTTATCGATGCAATGAACATGAAATTAAGCAAACTCCAGAGGACGGCGGAAGACAGGACGTCCTGGCATGATGTGGTCCATGAGGTCGTGAAGATTCAGATTTAACTGTGTGACTGAACAACAACAACAACAACTTGCATTACATTTTATAGCACACATGGCACAGCCGACAAAGTGACATTTATGCCACATCTGGCCCTTGTAACAAACAAATTCGACACCTCTGCTCTAAAAGAAGAGATACCATTTGGGGCTCCTGATCATTGTCATCATGTTTAATCTCAGAATGTTCATGGACTAAGGCACACAGGCATAATATTATCTTGGACTTTCCTCGTTGTTTTGCTTAGCTTCACGGATCTTCCCCCAATTAAAAAGCATTAAGAGGATTAAAAATAACAATACAATTGCTTAAATAACCATCAGATTAATTTAAATAAAATATTTAATTAGATAATTTAAATAAATAAATAAATAAATAACAATAATTATAAGTAAATTAATTAAAAGGAATTATTAGTCAATAGATTTACAAGTAATTTAATAAATCAATTAATTTAAGAGAACTAGAAAACCCATAAATCCAACTAAAAGATTTAAAAAACTCCATTTTATGAATAAATTCCAGCAACTCCATCTAAAAAAAGTATCCAACTACAAACAAAAATTGCCCTACATAAACTGAAACTTTCTAACAATTCTAAAATGGCATCCAGATCAGGTATAAGAAAATCTTCATTACCCTCCCCCAAAACACAAGCAAAAATACAAGAAACAATAAATCCCACAATCACAATTTCCATGGAAGAACTTAAAGCAGATTTAAAATCATGGGTCCAAAATATAGTTATTCAGACGGTGCAAGAATCAGTAAGAGAAGCGGTAACTCAAGCAGTGAAAAAAACAGTTGAGACAATCCTCCCCATGGTATTAAAATCAGAAATGGAACCCACACATACTAAAATGGAAGCCATTTTTGCAGATACAGAAGAATTAAAGAAACAAATGGAGGAGCGCAAACAAGAAACTGAAAAAATACCAAAAACCTGAGAAAACTAGAGAAGAATAGTAAAGAAATCCAAGAAGATTTCCAAGAACTAAAAGCAAATGCAGAAAGGATGGAACAAACTTTAATTTCATTAGAAATTGATAGAGCAGCTTTCATTGTTAGATCTCAGAATTTCCCAGAATCTAAAGGACTGAAAGGGGAAATGGCACAATTACTATCTGAAGAATTAGAATTAGGACCAAAAGAAGAAATGGAGAAAAGCATCGACTCAATACATAGGAAAAATACTGCATACGCAAAAACAACAACAACAACAACACCTAGAGAGGTACATATTAAATTCAATAAAAAGGAATTAAGAGATAAAACTTTTCAGATATCTAGCCAGTCTTAATAGATAACAATGAAGTTAAATTCCTAAAAGATACTCCATGGAGAGTAAGAGAAAAAAGATATGCCTGTAACAAACTCACCAAATTACTAAGAAATAATGATATTCTCTACAAATGGCTCTTGCCAGAAGGTCTGCTTTTTACATATCAAGGAAGAAGACATAACATCAATTCGACCTTCAAAATAGAAATTTTTTTAGAAAGACATGGACAGAATTTAGGAGGACATAATGATGAAGAGACAACAGACTCATCGGAATAAGATGTACGGGAAGGAACAAGCGCTCATCCCACAGTAATAGTAGAAAAACAGGAACCAAAAAAGAAAAGAGAAAGGAAAAGACCAGAAAAAACCACACCTAATGTATGAACTAGATTCCAATATAAGAAGAAAGAAAAGAACAACAAAGATAGAGAAGATGGAGAAGTCACAGAAGATTAAAATCATATCGGTGAATGTCAACGGGTTTAATGGCCCACAGAAAAGAAGGAAAATATTTCATCAATTGCATAAGCTTAATATAGATATAACATGTATTCAAGAAACCCATATTTTAAAAAATGAAGAAAATACTTAAAAGATAAAAAATTAGGAATTCTATTTGTAGATTCAGATAAAAAGAAAAGGAAAAAGGGAGTAGCAACATGTAAAAGAATATCTCCAACCTAAATTAGAATTTAGTTTGGAAGACGGAATTTATATTTATATATAAATTGGGGCTATATGATGGAAAATTTAAAAGAGGTTGGATGTGGAGAGGACTTTTGCAACAGAATAGGAGAAATATATAAAGATCAGGAGGCAAAAATTATAATTAATACAGATTTGTCAGACAAAATAGAGATAGGGAAGGGTACCCAGCAAGGTTGCCCGCTCTCCCCTCTATTGTTTATTCTAATACTTGAAGGTTTATGTGAGACCATCAGGAATCAGGATGATATAAAAGGGATAAGAGTTAAAGGGGAGGCATACAAAGTACAGGCGTACGCGGATGACATGGCAATAGTGCTGTTGGATCCAACAGAATCTATAATATCCTTAATGACCACGATAGAAGCATTTGGACTGTTAGCGGGCTTCAAAATCAATAAGGGGAAAACAAAGGTGATAGCTAAGAACTGCACTGAAACTGCTATCCGAAACATAGAGGAACTGTCAAAATTTAAGGTAGTAAAAAAAACAATATACCTGGGGATACAGATAACAAATAGAATCAGTACCTTAATTAAAGATAACTATGAACCATTATTGGATAGTATCAAAAAAGATTTAGATAAATGGGCTGCTTTACAACTTTCGATGTTGGGCCGGGTAGCAACAATCAAAATGTCTATACTGCCAAGGGTGCTTTTTTTATTTCAAACGATTCCCGTGATTAGAAATGATAAGTATTTTCAAAGGTTGGATAAGTTGGTGAGAGAATTCATATGGCAAAAGAAAAAACCAAGGATCAGATTAAAGATCTTACAGGGGGAAAATCAAGATGGGGGATTGGCGATACCCAATTGGAAAATTTATTATCAAGCAGCAGTTCTAGCTTGGCTGAGAGAGTGGCTTATTTTGAAAAATAGGAGAGTGTTAAGTTTAGAGGGACATGATCTGATGGTTGGTTGGCATGCTATTGTATGGGATGAAAAAGATGAAACACATTCATATTTCAAACAACATCTGATCAGAGCACTGAACATCTTTCCTGATGTATGGGGAAAAAAGGAAAAATATCTGATTTTACATTTACTAACAGCAGCCAGAATAACACTTGTGAAGGAGTGGAAGAATGAGCAGGTACCTACCAAAGGGCAATTGATAAACAAAATAATAGACGTAGCAGAGATGGATAATTTAACACAAAAAGTTAACGGGAATACCAGTACATTATTTGAGAATGTATGGTCACCAGTATACGAATGGATAGACAAAAAGTGAAGAGATTGATGGAGCAGTTCTGCTGTGTTGCTGTGTTGTGTATGGTGTGTGGATTTAGTGTGGAGGTATGTTATTAGGGAGGGTGGTGATGTGGGGATGGGGAGGGTGGTGATGGTCTTTGATGTGCATCTTTTTTGTATGTTTGTCATGTCTTGTGTTGAAAATAAAAATAATATATATATATATTTAAAAAGTTTGGAAGACGGAAGAGGAATAGCGGTATCAATTTAAGACAAGAAAAAAGGATCTTAATAGTCAACATATATGCATCCAATCAAAACCAGGCAATTTTAAAAAAACATTTACAAGAAAACCTAGTTAAAATGCCTTTTGAAGATATTTTTGTAATAGGAAACTATAACTCAGCCTTTGATCAAAAAATAGACAGAAAATCCCATAAATCAAAAAATTAAAAATCAATACATTACCAAAAACCTTTCTTCAATTAGTGGAAGTATTTTCCTTGATAGATATATGGAGAACAAAAAAAATTGATTAAAAAGAATATACTTTTTTTCTGTTTGCCATAACACTTGGTTGAGGATTGACATAGCATGGTTATCGACCTCTCTCATCAAAATTATAGAAGAGACAGAAATATTATCTAGTACTTTTGCAGATCACAATCCTGTCATGTTAACACTAAAAGCTATAAGCAGAAAGTCAAGATGGACAATGAATATGGATATCCTAAAGGGTAAAGTGATAATAAAAATACCCAAAAAAGTAATAAAAGATTTTTTTAGGGACAATACTCAATTGGAAACTCCTATAGAAATAATCTGGGATGCCTTTAAGGCATTTATAAGGGGTTGGTGGATTAACCGAGGAGCATGGAGGAAGAAACAAGAAAATAGAAAATATGATATGTTAAGAGGAAAAATACAAGAAGAAGAGAATAAAATTAAAAATACTAATAACACTACAGATAATAAAATATCTAAATTAAATAAATCGCAACACCAACTTAATTTACTTATGACACAAGAGGTAGCAAAAAAATAGAAATGAAAATTGTATTACTTTGAAAATGCTAACAAGCCCACGAGATGGCTAGCATATAAGCTGAAAAAAGACAGAGAGAAAAGAATAATTAAGACACTAAAAAATGAGAGAGGGGAGGGAAAATCCTCGCAAAGAGACCTTAAAGAAATAGTAAAGAACTTTTATAAAAGCTTGTACCAGAAACCAGAAATAATAAATAAACAGCTACAGGATTATAAAAAAAAATGGGAAAAGGGAAAATTTAACAAAGAACAAATAGCTACATTAGATTACCCGGTAACATCTTGTGAAATAATAGAAGCAATTCAAAATGGGGGGGAAAAGAAAATCCCCGGGACCAGATGGCATCCCTACAGAATTTTATCAAATTTTTGAAGACCAGATACTAGAGCCATTCAAAGATCTACTACAAAACATTCCTAATTCAAGTAAACTCCCTACCTCATGGAATGAGGCTATCATATCATTGATACATAAACCGAACTCTAACAAAGAGGAAATAACGAATTATAGACCAATCTCTTTATTAAATACAGACTATAAACTATTTGCAAAAATCCTGGCTAACAGATTGAAAAGGGTATTAATTCATATAATACATAAAGATCAGTCGGGATTTTTACCAAAGAGATGAATACAAAATAATATCAGAACTATAATTAACGCATTAGAATATTATGAATTGCACCCGGGAAAACCGATGAGGCTAATACTTCTAGACGCAGAGAAGGCTTTTGATAATATTAACTGGGCATATATGTTACAAAAGTTTTCAACTTGGGAATGCGGGAATAACTTTTTCACAATGATAAAAGCCATATATAATACCCAAAATGCCAAAAATTTAGTTAATGGAGAACCCACTCAAAGTATTCAAATACAGAAGAGCACCAGACAAGGATGTCCTCTATCCTCTTTACTGTTTATATTTACTATAGAATCGCTAGCCGATAGGATAAGAAATAATGATATGATAAAAGGACTGAGAGTAAAGGGCGAAGTGTTTAAACTGCAAGCTTTTGCAGACGATTTGATCTTTATAGTAGAAGAACCAGAATACTCTCTAGCCTACTTAATAGAAGATATTCAGGAATTTGGTAATCTAGCTGGATTTAGAATCAATTTTCAAAAAACTAAAATTATAGTCAAAATTGTTCACAAAAAGTAACACAAAAAGTAAAAGAAATCTCAAAAATGGAAGTAGTTCAGAAGGCTAAGGACCTAGGAATATGGATTACTAATAAACCAGCGACATTATTTGAAAATAATTACTTACAACTCCTAAAAGAAATAAAGGGAGATTTAAACCGTTGGGATAAAGTGCATCTATCCTTACTGGGCAGAATAGCGAACATTCTGCCAAGATTCCTCTTTCTTGCCCAAAACTTACCAATAATTAAAAAAATCAGTATTTCAAGGATTTGGAGAAAACTGTAGGTAAATTTTTATGGCAATCTAAAAAACCGAGGATAAAAATTAAAGACCTTCAGGAAAATAAAAAGAAAGGTGGCTTTGCCTTGCCTAATTGGCAACTATATTACTTTGCAGCTTCTATGATAGGGATTAGGGAATGGGTAATATTAGAAGACACGAGAACATTAGCTTTAGAGGGATCCAGTTTTTAATGGGATGGCACGCGTACTTATGGTACGGGAAAGATAAAATCCATTCTAATTTCCATACACATATAATTAGAAGCTCCCTTATTCAAGTTTGGAATCTATTAAAAGATAAAAACTACAATAAAATACCAATGTAGATATCTCCGATAGAGGCATTTGCCAAACCATCATTAATAACAGGGAAAACTAAAGAAATTTATGGTAATTTATTAAATTAAAAAAACTGAGTTAAAATCAGTTGAGATGTTATTAAAACAAAACATAAAACTATGCTGGTGGGAAAAATGTATTAAAATCAAGATACAAAGAAGATTAAAAAACATGATTTTATACTAGTCTAAATGAAATTGATAAAATTTGGCTGTCTTCAAGCGACAAATTTATTCAGAAATTTTATAATAAATTGCTAGAGGACTCTTTACAAGAAGAGACTATAAAAACGTCAATGGTAGCCTGGATAAAGGAGATTGGGCACATAATAGAAATAGATCAATGGTCAAAAACATGGAAAGCATTAAAATATATGAGAGCGACTCCATACAAGGAAAACATATATAAAATGTTTTATAGGTGGCATTGGACCCCTGTAAAAATTGCAAAATGCTTCCCGAAAGCATCAAACACGTGCTGGAGTTGTAGAAGAAATATCGGCTCATTCCTCCACATATGGTGGAGATGTGGCAAAATTCAGATTTTTTTGAAAAAAAAAATAAAATATTTTTAGATCTATTGAAAATTAATATTCCTTTAACACCAGAAACATACTTGCTTAATATGATACCGGATACAATAAAAGACCATATACATATAATCGTATATATATTAACAGCAGCCAGAATTCTTATAGCAAAGCGGTGGAAATCAAAAACCACACCCTCTATAAAAGAACTCATAAGATTCTAGAAGTAGCAGAAATTGACAAATTAAATATAGCAATACAAAGTAAACCAGAGAAACTTTTTTGGGACAGATGGGAAATACTTTATGACTGGCTGAAGATGAAGAAGATAAAACAGAACTTAAAATATGCTAGTTAAAGATATTTGATGTTTAATAAGAAATATGAATTTTATGTTATGAAATGTATAAGCTTTAAATGAATATGCTTTTGTGAAAACTGAAAATAAATTTACACAAAAAAGTCTTCTCTAAGGCCTTTATCATCATTTCCTGTAATCTAGCAGTGTCTACCAACACTCCTCTATCAATGGGCACAGAGGGTTCTGGAGAGAGCTGGAGCCAAGCCATGCCATCCTTATTTTCCTGCAACATCCCCTTAATGCTTTAGAAAAGAGGTCACAGATCGCTACTACACGTGTACTTTGACTAAGAGCTTTTAATTGAACCAGCCCTTGTGTAACTTCTTAATTATCATGAAAAAGTACACGGATTACTGTAGACACATAAATACTGGATCACATTCTTTTAAGGATCTGATTCTAAGAAGAGGAAGAAGGAGAATTTGCATGAGCAGAAGAACCTGGTACACCTGAGCTTTGCAGCAGCAAGAGTTAGTCTGGAAGTGACCAAGTGGAGGGAAGATGGAGACGCCAACGGCTGCGATCCCAGCTTCCATCTCATGGCTGGGGGCCCAGGCCTCATCCTGCTGGAACAACATGACACCATTGCTAATCTCTCTCCTACTGCTGGCTCTGCTGCTTGATTATGTGATGTGCAGGAAGAGAAGCAGTCACTCTCCACCAGGACCTACCCCGCTGCCTTTCCTTGGGAACTTGCTACAGTTTGATCTCAGGAATCCGCATACTGTTGCCCAGCATGTAAGTACCAGCCAGACCAACTTTGGAGGGCTCATACTGGATGGTAGCACAAGAAAAGTGAAACCCCTGAGAACGTCGGTATGTCTGAAAGGTGCAAGTATGGTTGAGGGGGGAGGCTACAGTTTAATTGTAGAGATTAGAGATACCACAGACTTCCTGATGAACGTACCTAATTTGATAGCAAAGATTACCCCATGGCCAAACATCTGGTGGCGTTTCATTTCTGTTTTTTTCCTGGGACACTTGTAATTGTGCTGTGAGGTCACAGGGGGTCATGGATGGTTGGGTTAGGTCATAACTTATATTCACTGGCTGTTTGAGTGATTTGTTCAATGGTTCTTTATACCATTGATTGCTGAAGGCATGTGAAGACAACTGGCGTAGGGCTGCCATTGGGCTATCCTAGAATGTATGTGTGTGAAACACTAGTGATTGAGCTGTGGTGCTGTATATTTTTGAATGCTTGAAAAGTAACCCAGCAAACCAGCTCAAACTATTCACACACAGCTAACTGGTCCACAGAAAATTGGCTCCCTGTTCGCCAAACAGTGAGTGTTCAAGCACTTCTATATCCTGTGAAACTCTTCAGCTTCCTGAAGCCATGGTTTGGGATTTGCCTGGGGCTATTGCAAGGGGTCTTTTTCACTCTCCTCAGGACAGCAAAATATTTCCTTGTTTTCTTGTTCTTTATTTCTTTATCACAGTTGGCAAAGAGGTATGGAGCAGTCATGTCATTCCAGGCTGGATGGCACACTTTAGTCATATTGAATGGGTTCAAGGCAGTTAAGGAGGCACTGACAGAGAAAAAGGATGAATTTGCTGACCGACCATACATCCCACTGTTGAGTCTAGCAGGTTATTCAAGAAATTGTGAAGGCAAGTATTGCTCATGCAGTGGTGGTATAGACTGTATATTCTACCACAGGTGTCTATGGAAGTGTCTGTGGGTGCCATGTACTAGAACATGGCACTTGCAGACACTTGTCCAGGTCAGTGTTCCCTCTAAGCTGAGTTAGTGTGAGCTAGCTCAGAGTTTTTTAGCCACTGGCTCACACATTTTTGTCGTAGTTCAGGAAGAATGGCTCCAGAGCAAACTAATTTATGCAGTAGCCAAATCGCTCCCTCACAACTTTAATGCCAGTACCTCACAAAGTAGAATTTTTGCTCACAAGACTCCACAGCTTAGAGAGAGCATTGATCCAGGAATCTGCCTAGTCCTTCAGAAAAACAGGAAGACCATAGTGAAGGCAAGATCAGAGACTTGCTGCCTTCATACAATGAAAGGGTTTTTACCTGGATCTTTCCCACCACTCACTAGAGAAGCATTCAGGATCCCATAAACAGGACCCATGGATCAGTGCAGTGGGGAGTCAGGGGACAACAGAGCAATGGAAATGGTAGATTAGCTAACTGGCAGGGGGAGAAGGAAGCGTGAGGCAGCAGTGGTGCCTGGATACACTGTACTCCCCATCTTGGCATTTCTCTCACTCTGTCCACAGCAGCCCACAGGGGGCAACAAAACCATGTCCAACATTTCTCCAATTTACTCCCTGAACCAACTTAGGGGAGGAGATTGAGTTCCTTATGCTGTACCCAGAAAAATTCCAGAGAGAGACAAGAGAGAGATGCCACAGACAATAACACATTGCAATTTAATACTCCCTGCTCCTAACCTTGGACTGCTTTTATGTGTATGTATTTTTATCCTTTCCTGGTCATTCTCTTCTTATTTGTGTGTGTTTTATTCTCTCTTTCCCCTTTGGTCATCTTCCTCTGTGTGTGCAGGTATATGTTATCTCCCTTTCAATGTCCTCTGTGTGTGTCCATCCCCCTTGCTCTTGTGTATGTATGTTTGCTTTGCTCTGTCTCATGCGGCAGCCATTTTGTAATGCTGCCTGACACCCTACCCCAAAATGTCAAACTTGCTGACAGGTTTAAAAGGTTGGGGACCTCATTCTAGCAGTATCGTCATGCAGTCCTACATCTATGACACCACAGAGAGAAAAAACAGACTTTATAGAACATAATATTTAAATATTATAAGTACTCTGTTCTCTCCTATGATCATATTCATTGTGGATAAAAGGAATTCTATGCTCCTCCTAAATACCACCTCAGCTGCCAGGTTGTTTCATTATGTGCAGTTACTATTGAAAAGGAACATACAGGAGCACACATGACTCTCTCTTCTACTGAATCAGGCCCTTGGTCCATCACAGCCAGTAGAGTCTTACTCACACTGGCAGCAACTCTCCGAGGTCTCAGGCACGGGTCTTTCACATCAGTGACTACGAGATTCTTTACCTGAAGATGCCGGGATTGAACTGGGGACCTTCTGCATGCAAACAGATGCTGGCCCTTCCCCTGCAGTGCTTTGTAATTCAGGTGTACATTATGTCTTAACCTTGATTTTACAAACCATATTTTGAATCAATTGAAGTTGTGAAATTGTCTTCAAGGGTAATTCTATGTCATGTTACAAGAATCTAATCTCCAAGTAAATGTGACCATGTCAAAGTTGAATTAAGATAGGAAGCCAACTTCTATACTACATAAAGATGGGAAAAGTCACCTTCTACCACTGTGTTTACCTGATTTTGCACAATCCAGTATGACCTTTCCAAACTCCACAATGAATTCAACAAGAGCAGCTGAACCCCATCAAAACTAGGTTGGGGAGTGACAATGCCCAGCAAAACCTCAGCGTTTGCAACCAGCATCACCTCCGTCTTGTTGGGGTTCAGCTCCCTAGCCATTTGACCACAGTTACCAAGACTGGCCCAGGATAAAAACGGCTGCCTCTGATGGTCTGCACAATGAACTACAGAATGATGCCACCCTGATCTCCCTGGAGGAAGAGCGGACAAACTGGTGGATTAGGGCAGTAAGAAAGTTTGCAAATAGCAGACATTTAGATGCCAGCAATGAGGAAATGCATGCAGCTGATCAGGAAGGATTCTTTACTCGGGTTTATCCTTTTAATCTTTCAGGCCACAAATGACGAACACAGAAATATGCAGAGTGGTGTGTTAATAATCATTTTAATGGAGTTGAGAGAGTGAGATCTGCAAAGTTAGACATAAGGTCATTCACCAGGCTGGCTGTCAATGATTGTGTGATTGGCATGGCAGTAGCATGACTAGGAACTGCAGTGGAGACTTGACATGGATTGGTCTAAAACTGCAGCTGCCATATCAGGCCCGTAGCTAACAACTTTTTGCTCAGGGGGCCCACCAGTTCAGGAGAAGGGAGGGCTGCATCCGTGCTTTGTTCCCGTCGTCGCCCTCTCTCACACACCCAGGGAAATGCTGATGGCCACTTTGGGGTCAGGAAGAAGTGTTCCCTCTAAGCTGAGTTACTGTGAGCTAGTTCACAGGTTTTTTTTTAGTCTCCGGCTCACAGTCCACAGGAATTAGCCCTCACCTCTGCAGAAGGCCAGCCGGACTGGAGGGGGCACAAGAAAGCAACCGAGTCCGGGCTGAGGAGGTGGCGGAAATCCAAAGGCCGGGAGGGAAGGAGTCCAGCGCCAGCTGGAGGAGGAGGGTGCAGCCCGGCAGAGGCGATGGCACAGACCCTCGGTTATCCCCCCCTGCGCATAAGCCAGGCTCTTCCTTCACCTGGGCTGCAACGGGACTTGCCGGCCGGGGAGAGGCCAGGCAGGGCCACCATAGGGGTGGTGGCAGAGCGCGCCGGGCTGGGAGGGAGGGAGGCTGCTGCGCGGTAAACGAGGCGGTGCTGGACCTACGGGGGGGCGGGGAGGAGGAGGAGGCGACCGGGCAGCAGGTGGTCAGCTGGGAGGTTGGACTCGCCTGCAGCGCAGGTAGCTCTCCCCCCCCGCAGCCCTCCACCTGTCATGCTCCAGCAGCCTTTTCTGAGCCGTGGCTGCGATCCACAAGGCAATTTGGGTGGTGGTGAGGGGTGTGGTGTGGTTCCCACTGGGTTCAGCCTGGTCTGTTTCTACGGAGCCCGGACTTGGATGGCCCAGGCGAGCCAGATCTCGGAAGGTGAGCAGGGTCGCCCCCCAGTCTTTGGGGTGGGGGGAGGCCGCCAAGCCCCACCAGGGTCGCTCCACAGAGGCAGGCGATGGAAACCGCTTGGTCTTGCCCCGCAAACCCCGCGCCTTGAGTCGAGGGCACTCCCCCCCGGCCGCAGTTCCCACGGAGCGCCAGCAGCGCCTTGCTCGGGCGACAGTGACGCCGCTGAGCTTGTCTGGCTGCACGGCTTCAGGGTTCTCGTCCTCCTCCCTTGTGATCAAGCAGTGGAGAGAAGAGCAAAAGGAAGTCTCCCCCCGCAGAACTTTTTTCCTTGCCGCAACCCGCACTCCCACACGCCGCCAACCCCCAGGCGAGGGGAAGACATTAACGCGCCATCTCTCCAATCAATGGGGGACAATTAAAGCCGCTGCCACCGCTGCGCGTCCTCTGGCCCCCGCCCCACCGCAGCAGGAGCAGCAGCACCAGCGAACCCTCTTCTTCATCATTGTGGCGGAGGGGGAAGACGGTCTCCTAACAGTCCCCCTTCCGCCTCTGCCTGAAGACCCCGCGAAGTTTGCAAGCGAGGAAAGTTCACACCAACCCCTCCCGCCCCCCATTGGCGACGCGCTCCCATCGCCCTCCCTGCTGGAGCGCGCCTCACCCGGTTCGGTTGCGGGAACGCCAGACTCCGCTGCCGCCCTGTGCTACCTTCCCTGGCTGGCTTCCCCACGGCTGGCAGTTTTGTTGCACCCAGGTCGGGCGGCCGAAGCCGGCAGGTTGCAGAGTGGACATTAGTGCCTCCGGCCAGGCTCAGGTTCAGCCTGGTCTGTCCCCGAGGAGGGGGGAGGGGGCTGGGGGAGGGGGAGCAGAGGATCGGGGGAGGGGGCCTGCAAAACCCACGGGGGCGGGCCCCAAGGGCCCCACGCAGGCTACGGGCCTGTGCCATATGCTCCGGGAGATAAGCCAGTAAGTTCAAGCGACACTAGCCCATTCCATCCTTGTGAAATATCACCAACCAGAATGAAACAATTAATAAAAACAAACATACTTGACTTTTGAGTATTTTCTTGCCATAGAAAACAAACTGAATTGACACGAATCCTTTTCATATCCTTCAGGAATATTAATGGCAAGGAAGAGCAATGGCTGGAAGGAGCAGAGGAGATTCTGTGTTTCCACCCTGAAAGTCATTGGGATGAGGAAGAAAACACTTGAAAAAAGGATATCCGAAGAAGCAAAGAAGTTGTGTTCCGAGTTCAAATCACAAGAAGGTGCATTTGAGACTCCTCCGGGGTAGAGAAAAACAACTCTTCTTTTCAAACTCTGGACTGCTGGGGCATATTACTTATCAAGCTGTTGCAAGTGGAGGTTAAAGGAGCGTGGTCTGTCAAACACAGCTTCAGGGAGGTGGGAGTTGCCTTTTTTACAGCAATGAGCTGTAGTTAGCAGATGTATGTGAACTATGCAACTCTAAAAGGAGATTCCAGTGCCCTGAAACAGGCCTATGCAATCAAACCCACACACTTTGCAGCATTATTCACAAAGAACCCCAGTCCACATGGATTCCCCTCACGCCAGATGTGTAGGATGAATAATGTCTAAACATTTCATTATTGTGTCCTACAGGTGCAGCCTTTGACCCAGAAACTCTTCTGAACAACGCCATTGGCAAGATTATTTGTACCCTAACGTTTGGTGACCACTTCGACTACAATGATGTAACATTCCTGAAACTAATACATTTTACTAAGGAGATAATGAAGATAATTACCGCAAGCTTGCCACAGGTACCTTCACACATCAATAAAGAAAAAAAGGGAGACTGATGCTAGAAGGCCAAACATAGAAGTTGGGAAAGGAATAGCCTACATAGAGCCAAGCTTCTTCATGTTGCCGAGAGCATCCCTTTGATCTCTGTTAAAAGTCCTTATTGAGACAGTTAAGGCAAAAGATTTTATTGAAGAGAAATGTTGCATTCCTGGGGAGGAAAGCAACAACCAGAGTTGATATCCATTCCAAAACATGTGAAATGCTCTGTTCCACAAAAGGAACACAAACGCCATTCATTTTGTAGGTATCATCTTTCCTTATTTATAATTGAGTAGTGGGGTCGCACTTTCTGAACATTCCACATGCCCCTGAATCATTTGGCTCCATGATGTGTCACTCAGAAGCTGTCCCTATTCACTGGCTACATTCTCTGAGTCCTACCCATGTTGGCCATTTCCAGCTCTCCCATTGGCTGTGCAATGTGCTCCATCAGCCGTTGGCCCATCAACTGCCACTCAAGAGTACTCGTGTGCCATTGGCAGGGTGCTGGGTCGGCCCCTCTTCCCTGCCCACTCCCCCTTCAGCCAATGTTCTCTGTCAGAAGCAGTGGCAAACGGCTGTGTCTCCCGACGAAGACACATCTCCTTCTTGGCTTTTCCCTCAGTGACTGTTGGTAGGCAACCAAGCTTGCTTTCGTCAGTAAAGAAAACAAAGGAAGGAAACCCTTTCCAACCTTTGTGGCCAGTCCTGACTAGGGTTTGGGGAGGGGAGAGGCCTCAGCTGAATAGAATGCCATAGAGCACCCGCTAAAGCAGTTATTTTCTCTGGGGAGGGGGAAGAGATCTGTTGCCTGCAGTTCAGTTGTGATATCAGATGATACCAGATGACAGAGATCAGTTTCCCTGGAGAAAATGGCTGCTTTGGAGGGTAGACCCTATGGCATTATACCCTGCTGAGTCCTTCTGCCCCCCCAACACTGCCCTCCATAGGATCTGCCCCCCAAATCTCCAGGTATTTCCCTACTCAGAGCTGGCAACCCTTCTTTCCCCTCAGTGCCTGTTGCTAGGCAGCCAAGCTTGGTTCTGTCAGTAAAGGCCCTTTCCACACCTATTTTGGCCTTTGGGAGAAAACTCATTGGGGCCAATCCTGACTAGGGGAGAGGCCTCAACTGAACAGAATGCCAAAGAGGCCACCTTCCAAAGCACTTATTTTCTCCAGGGGGGAGAGAGCTGTTGTCTGGAGTTCAGTTGTGATACCTGCCGATCTTCAGGCTCCACCTGGAGGCTGGCTACCCTGGGCGTAGCAGTCAGTGCTTCAGAACAGGGACTGCTAGACCCAGATTCTTGCTGAGTTGGTGATATTGGGCCAGTCACATACTTTCAGCCTAACCTACCTCACAGGGTTGATGTACAAGTCAAAAGGGGGAGAGGAGAATGATGTAAGCTGCCTTGGTTTCCATTGCAGAGAAAAACTACTTTTTCTCCTGGGGAACCATTGCTGCCCATCTCCAGGTGAGGGCTGAAGATCACCCAGAATTACAACTGCTCTCCAGATGGCAGAGATCAGTTCCCCTGGAGAAAATGGTGGGCTCTGTGTCCTTATGCTCTGCTGAGATGGCCCCCCTATGACAGCCAATGTGATGTAGCAGTCAGGGCTTCAGAGCATGGTAGAGACTGCAGGTGAGGGTGGGGGTGTGGAAAGCTGAAGAGTGAGGAGGAAATAAAGATAGGTTGATGATTAGCTGGGAAGGAGATGGGGTTGCCAACTCCAGGTGGGAAATTCCTGGAGATTTGAGGGCTGGAGAGGGTGAGGTTTCAGGAGTGGTGGGACCTCAGACAGGTACAATGCCATAGACTACACCCTCCAAACCAGCCATTCCCTCCTATGGAACCATTCTTGCCAATCTCCAGATAAGAGCTGAAGATCACTCAGAATTACAACTGCTCTCCAGGAGGGAGGGGGAGGAGATGGGAAGCTGAAGTCAGAGGGGCAGATAAAGGTAGGTTGGTGGTTGGCTGGGAAGGAGATAGGGTTGCCAACTCCAGGTTGGGAAATTCCTGGAGTTTTGAGGGGTGGAGCGTGGAGAGGGTGGGGTTTGAGGAGGGATGGGTCCTCAGACAGGTACAATGCCATAGACTCTACCCTCCAAACCAGCCATTTTCTCCTGTGGAACCATTGTTGCCAATCTCCAGTGGAGGGATGGAGATCACTCAGAATTACAACTGCTCTTCAGATGGCAGAGATCAGTTTTCCTGGAGAAAATGGTGGACTCTGTGTTATTATACCCTGCTGAGGTCGCCACAGCAAATTGATGCTGAGAACCCAAGGCTGGGGCACTCTCCCAAAGCCTCTTTCTAGAGCTCGTTGTATTTATTTCCACAACAAGCCTTATTCCTAATATTCACTAAGATTTTTAGTTATTTATTCATACATTCATTTATATACTAATATCTTTTAAAATTTAACAATTCTTTCCCATTTTAAAATTTTCAAAATTATATATATATAACCACAGTCTTCCAAATTGGGTGAAGAATGGTTAATTTGTTCTTCTTAAAAAATTAATGGAGGGGTAGTCTCATCACTTCCCTTGGACAGGTACAACAGCCAGTTTTTTAAAAAATCATGTCAGTGTATCTGTGAGGTGCTGAGAATTTCTTTGCTCTAGCACCTGTACACAGAACACCACTGTCTAGGTATAATAAAATTAATATGTTGTTGAAGGCTTTCACGGCCAGAGTTCATTAGCTGTTGTAGATTTTCCGGGTTGTATGGCCATAGTCTTGGCATTGTAGGACCTGATGTTTCACCAGTAGATGTGACTGGCATCCTCAGAGGTATAACATCAAAAGATGGAGTGCTCATTATGTTGTAGGAGTTCCCCAGGCTGTTTCCTGAGGAGGTTTATATTTGGACCTCACAGCGTAGCATTCAGACAAGAATAAAAGAACATGAAAGACACTGCAGACTTGGCCATCCTGAAAAATCAGCAGTGGCTGAACATAGCCTAACTCAAACAGGACACAGTATTCTGTTCCAAGACACTGAAAGGTTGGACAACACATCCAATTACCATGGCAGATTACACAGGAAAGCCATTGAAATTCATAAACATAAATACAACCTACCATATTTCTTCTCACCTTGACACAGAGAATACTCCATCTTTCTTTGTTATACCTCTGAGGATGCCAGTCACAGCTACTGGTGAAACATCAGGCCCCACAATGCCAAGACCAAGGATATACAACCTGGAAAATCTAAATCATATAATAAAATTGTTTATCTATTTTTATAGGATAAAGTACAGATTGGATAGTTTCTGTGATATAGCAGATGGAATGTTTATTATAGAATGAACAGAAATGAGGGATAATTGGCAGTATCTGGAAATCTAATTGGCTAGTATAATCTTCTTTAGCTTTCAGTATAGACAGAAATGGTTACTGATCCTTTCGAGCTTCAGGCTATAAAAGAGGCTACCGATAGTAGAACCAGTGATGCTTCAACTTGTCATTACAGTGTTCTCCACTAAATAGAATAATACTTCAGAATTCTTTTTAAAATTCCCTTTGTTTCTGATCTCCATGGACACTAGAAGGTGGAGTCCAAAAGGTCTATTCATTAACTGCTTCATAGGTCATACTTTGGTCCAATGAGCAGCTGAAGGGTGAGGGACGAAGGTTTGAAAACAAAGTCAACTGTAACAGAATTTTGCTATCATCCCTACAATTAACCTTCAGTTAAAAAATAGGTTGTTCCAAATATGTGCCAGACCAGCACAATGCCTAGTATGCCACAATGCCACAAGTTGAGGAGGCCTAGCATGGACATGACCAAGAATGAAGTTCTTCTCCCTCAAAAGAAATGTGAGTCTAATCTGAAACTATTTAAATCAGTGGGAAAGTTTACCACTGGCTTCTGTGGGATGAGCAAGGTAACTTGCTTGCTTCCTGCCTCAGTTTTTTTCACTTGTACAAACATTAATAGGGACTATAAAGAGTTGGCAGCAGTTTTAAGACAAAGGAAATAAAGGCGCTCCTCTTTCATCTTGGTTATTTAATCTTTAAACATATTGCTAGTTACAAGTACATTAACGTATCTTTCATGATGGGTTACGGTAATTTGGAGTATAGTGAGTTTGGAATGAAGGAGGCTGCTCTAATTAAAAGCTTTTTCTAAACCAAAATATTAATACCTCCAGTCCACAGATGTGAAAGAAGTGGGAGAGGAATAGGGCTAAAGCTGGGGGAAAGGGCCCTCCCCACTAATGTGTGGAAAGGTATCTAGCTGGGAACATCCTACAACAGTCCAGTTCCACTTTTAGCTGAATGTGTTCTACCTTTACCAAGCATCTTTCTTCTTGGTTGCTGATATAACAGATAATGGGATCAGGAACCTGGCTCTCATATATTCCTGGGCCTCACCAAAAAATTAAGGAAATTTATAATGATATTAGTGCCATACTAAGTGAAATTGTGACAAAACATAAGGAAACCAGGGATCCTACATATGCAAGAGATTTGATCGACACATTTCTGGAGGAGATGGAAAAGGTAAGAAGAAATATGTAGCTAAATCCCTTGGCCTTATTCTGTATAAACTGAATCTCAGCTAATTTATGACAGAAGAGTTTCTACCACCAGCACTAAGCCAAAATTCTGCAGGGCCCAGTGGCTACAGTTTCTTACAAGGATATGATTTCCTATATGTTAGGCTTTCACCAGCTCTCGTCCCAAGTTGAAATCAGGATAGAGGTGGGGTTCAGAATTTAGGCCAGATTCTCAAGGGGGCTTACACGAATTCTCAGAGGCTATGGCAGGTTCAAAGTCAAACAGGTCTAGACTTTGCAATGGCCTTCCACATGCCAGGGAAAGGCCCAAAAGTTTCAGCATGGCTTGGTTATCCTTATATTGGCTAGGGTTACCATTCCCCAGGTGGGGGCAGGGATTCTCTGCTTTCATGGGTTCCTGCCTGCCGGTGGCCAGCAGGAGGAAATTCCCCTCCAACAGCAATGTTGTACACAACACACTGACATCACCCAGAAGTGACCTAGGTGCATTAGTGATGTTGAGGGGGGGGGGTGAGGCTCTGGTTTCTGGGCAAAACTCTATGGTTTGAGGGCAATTTTACCATAGAGTTTTGCCCCAAAACTAAAGCATTGACATCAACATTACTAACTCACCCACATCACTTCTGAGTGATGTCAGCCCATTGCATGATGTTCCCGCTCACTCCTGGAACGCTCTCCCCCCCCGTCATCCTCTGCCCATGTGATGATGGGAACTGGCAACCCTTTTTTTGGCCTGTATCAATACTAAAGACATCAGGAAAGAAAATCCACTCATCATTTCCAGTGAACAGAGGAGAAAGCTTCCCATCCTTCTTGGCAAAACCACTAATTGTAGTAGTGTCTTTTGAATCATGTGTGTGCACGGGCATACGCAATGCACAAAATAGCAGTAAAGGGTAATTCATCGCTTTGTGCACGCAAAGATCTCTTGGCTGTGGTGCCTCATGGCCCTCAGGATGTTGAGTCCTTCCCAGCCACTGGCTAATAGCTGATGCCTGGTTGTTGGGGTAGGGAAATAAAGTGCACAATGATTTCAGACTACAAGGCAAGTTCTATTTGAAGTTATGGAGGTGAAGACTATGTAGTTTCCCATCTAATTCTAGAAGAAGAAGAGTTGGTTTTTATACCCTGCTTTTCTCTACCCTAAGGAATCTCCAACTAGCTCATAATCACATTCCCCTCCTCTCCGCACAACAGTCACCGTGTGAGGTAGGGGGGCCTGAGAGAGTTCTGAGAGAACTGTGACTGGCCTAAAGTCACCCAGCAGGCTTCCTTTTTCTTTTATATAAATAGTTTTACTATTTTTCAAAACATAACACCAACATCAACACACACACACACACACACACACTAACATTGAGCAGGAGTACATTCCATTAGTTATGCTTAAGAACATAAGAGAAGCCAATGTCGGATCAGGTCAATGGCCCATCTAGTCCAACACTCTGTCACACAGTGCCAAAAATACCAGGTTTCTCTTTTTACACAACAGTAATTTTTTTGCACTTATTCTATTACTTTATATATGTATGTATACTAATTTCTATTTCTATTTATACTTTCCTTTTCATTATAGCTCTTAGCTTTAAAGTTTAAAGGGACATCAGTTCTTCCATAGAAAGTCAATATTGGGCAGCGCGGGTACTCACAGTGCTGTAGAACAGTTTTATTTCTTCTTTAAACAGGAAGGAAAGACTCTTTGAGATTGGTTGATCACAACTTGGCACTCAACGGCTGCCATTGAGTGCTCTCTCGCAGGCTCTCGCATCTGAGAGATCTGGGGTCTACTCGCATGCCGCCACACACGACAGCCCCTGGATCAAGCTCCCTGCAATGAGTCTCCCTCCGGGAGGGCTCAATGGGGTCCGGGAAACCCCAGCCCCCACTCAAAACCTGGAGATTTGGCGTTTCCTTGGGAGAATCTCCCGGGACCGTCCGAAATCGTCACATCACCCAGCAGGCTTTCTGTGGAGGAGTGGGAAATCAAACCTGGTTCTCGAGATCAGAGCAGGCCCATGGCTATGGGGGGTACACAAGGGCGATGCCTCCCACAAATATGCCCGGGCCCCACAGGAGGGGAGGGAGGTAGCAGGAAGGGAGGGAGAGGGGGCAGCCTTATTAAAGCCACATGGAAGCCATGCCTCTCTCTCCCCTCCTGCTTTGCCATGGTTGCCGCAAAGCCTTGCCAGGTCTTCCTGCTTCTGGCTGCAGCCAAGCAGGAGGGGAGGGAGAGGGGCAGCCTCACCGCGTCTTCCTGCTTCTGCACCCAGCTTCTCAAACTTTGACAAGCCTGCTGCAGAAGCAGGAAGACCCAACGAGGCTTTGTGGTGACCCCAACTGAGCAGGAGGGGAGGGAGAGGTGCAGCCTCTGCATGGCCTCGCTTGGTCTTCTTGCTTCCACAGCCAGCTTCTCAAAGTTTGAGAAGCCCACTGCAGAAGCAACAAGACCTGGTGAGGCTGCACAGCTGTTGCCCCTCTGCCTCCCCTTTGATGGGAGCCTGAGCTGTGGGGGGGACATGGGAGCAGCTAGTAAGTCCACCCTTCCCAGCAGCTCCAATTTGCCTCCAATTTGCCCCACCAGCGAAACAATTCTGGCTACGGGGCTGGATCAGATTCTGCCACTCTTAACCCCTACACCACTAACCATTACACCATGCTAGCTCCCTTCTGTTCCACCTTCTAGCTAGAGATAGTGTGTACCATTTATTTTTTACCTTTGTATCATATGTAGCTTACTGATAAGTGCAATCATAGCTAATTCACAGGGCTGGCTGACAAAAAAAACGCGTAATGTTGCATAGTTACATATAAATTGCCAATGTTTTATTTCCTTCAGGCCAAAGGGAATCCAAAGAGCAGTTTTAATGAACACAATCTTATTAAAATTATTCTTGAAATGTTTGTGGCTGGCCTGGGAACTACTACTTCCACCAAACTCTGGGGGCTGTTGAAAATGGTCCTTCATCCTGAGGTTCAGAGTAAGTGATGAGCATCTGAGCTGGGGGAGGGATTCCTCACAGGTTTTGTACTATCAAGGCCATTCCCATATTCTAGAAATTAGTTCGATACTTAGATATGAATTTATTTCTATTGCACTTTCCATTCCAAAGGATCCTCAAGGCAGATTTCATAAAGTTGTAACATAAAATTCGGGTGGTGTCATGTTTTCTAACATGTAATGCCCACATTCCTTTTCATTCCATTTCGCCCTCTTTCTAAGCAATGACTCTTAGTGTTAAGGTCTAGGTGTTCCTTATACGTTAACCCAGGACTACATATTTTTTTATTTTACAAATGAAGCGAAGGTGTGTCCCGGTCCCAACTGGGATCTCTTGGAGAAGGCAAGGGCAAGGGCTCAGTACCCACCCCCCACCATTCCAGGAACGGCCCCAGACCACCTGGTGTGACCTCAGATGATGGTCAGGATGCCCACCACCCTGCCCCTTACCTGGCCACCCAAAGAACCCCGGCTCAGTGATGGAGCGGTGAACGGAGGCAAACAGGCAAAGAGGAAGGCCGGCATCAGGGTCTGCAGAGAGGGCCGGATGCTTGCACAGGCGGTAGTGCTGTGCACCAAGCCCACCCTGACCTTTGCTGGCAGAACTGAGACCCAGTGGCGCCAAGTCTCACAGTTGCTAGCTCAGGCCTCGTGCACGCTGCAGCCACCAGGAGGTGTGGCAAGGTGGCAGGAGGGTGCGAGCAGGGCCCAGGCTGCGGAGGAGAAGCCAGGGCAGTGGGAAATGACTTTGAGAAGGGGCATGGCCAAGTGGGAAGGCGGTGCTGGGAGGGGGAAGGGGATAAAAGGGAAGGTGGAGGCAGCCAAGGAGGAGGCTGGAAGTCCAGGGCACAAGAGGCGAGAGAGAGAGTGGGAGAGAGAAGCCAGCCGGACCCCCAGGGTCAAAGAGGGAGGGTGATGTAAAAGAGGGAGAGGACCCTCTCGCTAATCCCCACAACTGAGGTGATTCCTCCTCCTTCGCTTTGGATCCTTCCCCCTTTCAGCTCAACCAAGCCATAACAGGAGGTGGGCAGCCTCAGGGGGCGACAGAGGCTCAGGACCCCATTGTCAAGGTGGTGACGGGAGGGATGCCTGAGGCCCATGTGACAAGGCTGGACAAGGAGGAAGTAGCTGAGATGTTGATGAGCATGAGATGGCAACTAGATAGTCAGAGGCCTAAGAAAGGTTAACCTTTGTCAGAGGTTAAGATGTAAAGATGGTGGCCAGAACGAAGCCCTTAGTAGGTGCTCCGTCCGTGTATCATATACCTTGTATCGACATACAACTCTACGGTGTGATACTCACCCGCAGACCTGAAAGACCATCATTGCGCCTACTGGCTCTCGCCCAGCCCAATTATTTAGAATTATTTGATCACTGACTAATTTGCCACAGAGCATTCCAAATGCTAGGGAATTGGCGATTGGCTGTGAGGCATTTGCAAGCCATTTTGCAGACAAAGTCTTGTCACTCTGCCACGACCTCCCGACCACACTTGATACAATAAAAGAACTGGAAGTCCATTGGCTGTCTTCGGGTCCAATCTTGAACCACTTCAGTCATCTGTCAGGATGAAGTTTACAAGAGTCTGGTGGCTGTGAAGCCTATCACATACCTCCTAGATCCCTGCCCATTGTGGCTGGTTAAAGCTTGCGGCAATGAGGTGCGGGTCCCCCTGATGGAGATTATCAACTTATCCCTTTTAACAGGGTCCTACTCAGGGGGACTGAAGGAGGTGGTGTTCACCCTCTCCTTAAAAAAAAAATTCTTCTTTGGATCCTACGGTCCTCAATAACTACCGCCCAGTATCTAACTTGCCATTTCTGGGTAAGGTAATACAGAGGGCAGTGGCAACACAGCTTCAGATGTTCTTGGATGATGCTCCGATCCTGGACCCCTTCCAGTCTGGTTTTTGCCCCGCTACGCGATGGAGACAGTGTTGGTCGCCCTGGTGGATGACCTCTGGAAACACCTGGATCAAGGTGGATTTGTGCTGCTGATACTTCTTGATCTGTCAGCAGTGTTTAACATGGTTGACCATGATGTGTTAACCCACCACTTCACCGACGCTGGGATACAGGGGCTTGCCTTGCAGTGGCTGGCCTCCTTCCTGCAAGGTCGGGGACAGAGGGTGGCGCTTGGGTGAGAGTTATCTTGGTGACACCCACTGGAATGTGGGGTGCTGCAGGGAGCAATTCTCTCCCCTATGCTATTCAATATCTACATGTGACCCCTCGCCCAGATTATCTGGAGGTGTGGGCTGGGGTGTCACCAGTATGCAGATGACACCCAGTATCTACTGATGACTGGCCACCTGGATATGGCCCCAGGAGATCTAGAGGAGGCATTACAGACCATGGCTGGATGGTTACATCGGAGCTGACTGAAGTTTAAATCCATCTTAGAAGGAGGTCTGTTCCTGAGTCGTGGGGGACTGGGACAGGGGATTAGGCGCCAGTCGACGGGGCTTCACTGGTCCCAGCGTTGGGGGTAAGAAGCCTGGGAGTGTTCCTGGATGCTTCCCTTTCCATGGATGCCCAGGTCACTGCCACTGCCAGTCTGCCTTCTTCCATCTGAGGCAGATCAGGCACCTCCCAAGACTTAGCTACAGGGATCCATGCAATGGTCACTTCTAGACTGGATTATTGTAACTCTCTCTACATGGGACTTCCCTTGACTCTGCTCCTGACGTTGCAGCTAGTGTAGAATGCAGCAATGTGGGTGTTGACGATGATGCCTGTGCAGGCGCACATCTGCCTGGTGCTGTGCGACCTGCCCTGGCTGCCTATTGAATTCCGGATCCATTTCAAGGTGTTGGTACTTACCTTCAAAGCCCTATATGGCCAGGAGCCAGCATACCTTTGAGACCGCTTCTCCCCATATGAGCCCCGTAGAGCACTAAGGTCCACCAATCAATATGTTCTGGTGGTCCCTGGCTTTTTCGACCCTGGCCCCTGCCTGGTGGAATGAGCTCCTGAGTGAGATCAGGGCTCTGTGGGATTTATTACAATTCCGCAGGGCCTGCAAGACAGAGCTCTTCCACCGAGCTTTTGGTTGAGGCATTTACAGATCATGTTCCCCAACCAATACAGAGATGAGGCATCACCAAGGACAGCATAAACGTGATCCCTTGCTAGAGTTTCAAGTTCCTCAGGGAGCAGAGAGTTCACTGAAAATGTTGCTTCAGTCCAACTGACACAGGGCTAACAGCAAACAAAGAAGCATCAGCTCTCCACGTTCATCTACATCTTTCTTTATAGAAAGGTTCAGAACTTTTAAGCAGTGTTGCTATGACCAATGCACAGCAAGTGGCAGTGACATGCACTAAGTGTGCATGTAGGGGTGAAGGATAGGGTCCATGTGTTGCATGAGAAGCAAAGGGTGATGAAGAGAGGGAAAGGATATTTGAGTGATATCATAGCGTTTTCTGTTTTCAGGACAAAGTGTGATACTTGTATTTCCCCCCCCAGCCTCAGTGAATAGCCATCCTGGAGGGCAATTTTCATTAGCAAAAGGGTAGGGGAGAGGAAGGGTCACCCCATCCCCAGGGTCACAGTAGCCTGGGCCCCAAATGTATGTGTCCCTCCCTGGTAATTGTGTTGTTTTTAGTGTAGAAGAAAATATTGAGAAATCTGATCATCAGTAATTCATGTGATGGCCATTATAGTTAGAGAATCCACCATTCTGAACTGTTTGGAGGAAAGGTGGGATAAATCAACAATTTTTAAAAAATAATTTAATATTTCCAGAGCAAGTCCACAAAGAAATCGAGGAAGTGCTTGGCAAGGATAACCCACCCATGATGGAGGACCAGCCAAACCTGCCTTATACTAATGCTGTGATCCACGAAATCCAGCGGTGTGCTGATATTGTACCGATTGCATTTCCTTATAAAACACACCAAGAAGTTCAGATTGACAAGTTTGTCATCCCTAAGGTACAACCCCTTCAAAAATACTTTTTAGAAATAGATCAGAGTTGACAAATCACCACCTTTTGGGTCACATAAGGGATCTTTTGAGAGAGCTGAAAGATAATAATTCTTCGCCAGCACAAATAGAATTGAATTTCATGACTATATTGTCAAAATAACATGGGTGGATAGAAAAGGAGGAATTATTCCTAAGATCTTGGCTAAGATCCTCAAGGTGTTAGAACTGACAGAGGATCCCTAAGAACGAGCTGACAGAGCACAAACATGCTGACTGCCAAAGGGTGTTAGCAATTCCCTTTCCAGATGTTTTCAACAGTGCAGTGAAAACAATGGAAATCCCAGCTTGGGTCAAGCCAATGCACAAGCTGGCATCCATCATGCTCTATTCCTTTCCTTCAGAGGTAATAGAAAGGTTCGAGATCACTCTGGTAGACACCACAGGGGGCACTCTCATTCATTTCTCCCTAGAGACCCTTCTGATGAATGAATTTAAGTAGCTGCAGTACTTCATCTGCAGGTTTCAGGGCCTCCATCACAAACTTTATTTTCTTCAACACTGTTTACCTTTGGGCTAAAAATTTCACTATTGCAGATGAGGTGAAATTTGCCAATTGAGGTGAAAGGTGAGCTCTGCAAAATCGCTCCAGTGGATTTGGGTAGCATTCACATTCTACACATTCAGAAAAGAAGTACCATCTGAAATTAGGAGAAGTAGCACATAAAATTAGTAATATTGGTAGTTTCTTCTGCCTTGTTAGGAGACCATAGTCTTCAATCACTTGTCTTCGGTGCTGAATGATGAAACCATGTGGGAGAAGCCACACCAGTTTTACCCTGAGCACTTCCTAGATGCCAATGGACAGTTTGTCAAGCGAGAGGCCTTCCTACCTTTCTCTGCAGGTAAACCCAAGAGGGAAGATGGTGGCAGTCTATTGGGAATGCTAAAAACTTTATTATCCTTTCCTTCATCTTTCATAAGAGATGGGATGTCCCAAGTAACTTTTTATGGTCATTTGTGTGGTGAAGAGAAAGCATTATGGAACCTATTCTTGACTGTGCAGGCATTTACACCAACTACTTCCCTCATTTCTTTGCAACCTTATTAGGAGCTTGTAGCTGTGAAAAAGTAGACACTTTAAAACAAAATCTCAGCTTCATTAATAACAACAGAAATTTATAGAGTCTGGTTCCTGGTTTGCTATTGACAGCTTGTGCCCGCCGATTATATTCGAGACAGATCAGTGAGCTGAATATTTACACAATCTACTGAATGCACTCTTGTGGTAACGCCATCTATATGATACCAAAATAACACTGCTACCACTTTAATATGAATATCATATGGTTTTAATTGTTTTAGATGTTTTATGGCAATTGATTGTTACTATGTCTTTACCTGTGTAAGCCGCTCTGAGCCTGCTTTGGCAGGGAGGGCGGGGTATAAATCTGAAAAATAAATGTTACTGGTTTTCTCCCATCCTTGTCAATCTGGAGTAGGATACTATGCCTTCTTTCTTCTGGCAGCAGCAGCAGCTCTATTGACACAGGAGAGTGGATTTTAACTGATTTTCATGGCCTTTATTCTGCATGGACCCTTCTCAACTCTTTGTATCACCTTTTGGATGGTCATTTGAGGCTTCTGGAAAAGGGGAAGGAAAGATCCACCTCCACCATCCCCATTTCTTGCAAAAGATCTAGTCCATAGAGTTCAAGGGCCAATTCTGAGAAGTATTTCGGTGTGAGGTCATGTGGCTGGACTGAATCCAACTTTTGGAACACTACCAAGAACCACCCTAAATATAACTTCCTGGTGATATGTCAAAATGAATCTAGACTGGCCTGCACATGGTGACACATTAGGGGACTGGTTGGGCAATGTTCAAAGAGGCTGGAAGTCAACTTGGGCTGATTGAAATTTGCAGCTGACATGGTCTCAAAAAATGATGGTCAGAATCATCCCTGTGTGAGTACTGGAAGTCACGTAT